TCAACTATGACAACTCAAACTAATTATTTTTATTGCTGAGACCTTTTCATTCGACTTCCATCTGACGTAATCTGTCACGAGAAGAAAATCCTTGAATTGAATCTCCTTATCTGCTATCTGTGGATCTGTATCGGCTCACAAAGTCACGTTTTGACTCAGATTATCTGTGACGGCAAACGCGGATTCCCCTCCTGTCTACCCACAAATATCAAGCTGAAACTCGCAGTCAAATATCGTAAAGTTAGAATTTGGTCAGTTGAAGTCGCTTTTATTTAGTTTTTGTTTAGTTTTTTGCGTTGGGGATCCAGTGAAGATGGACTGAGTCTCATCAGAGTCTAATCAGCCTTTCTTTGTTTTGTTTTTGCAATCAACTCAGTGCAATATTCATTGATGTTTCTTTTGTAATAACTCTGTGCAATAATATGTATATATACAGTGGGGGAAATAAGTGTTTGACCCCTTGCTGATTTTGCAGGTTTGCCCACTTACAAAGAATGCAACGATCTATAACTTTAATCATATGTACATTCTAACAGTGAAAGACAGAATCCCAAAGAAAATTCCAGAGAATCACATCATATGAATTTATAAAAATTGATAACCATCTGATGAGGAAAAATAAGCATTCTTTGTAAGTGGGAAAACCTGCAAAATCAGCAAGGGGTCAAATACTTATTTCCCCCACTGTATTATAGATCTGTAATAACTCCTTAACTTAAACATCAACGTTTAAATCCCCTTTGGGGTAAATAAAGTTTTGGATTTGATGGTTTTTGAGAGGAGTCCTCCCAACCTTTAACTTGCTGTGAAAGTGGGCCAGGGTGCAGGATCTTTCATAATAAATTGCTTTCCTGGGACATTTTGCTAATTACAGTTAGCATTTGCATTCATTCTGCAGGATGATGACCATATAGGCCCAGAGTGCTCTTCAAAGCTCATCTGGATCCTTCAGATCTCAACAGCTCCATCAGCTCAGTTACCGGAACCCTTACGAGGCAATATTTCACCAGCTTCTGCACTTTGACTCCGGAAATGGCTCCAGAAAAGAACTTTGCCCAGCAGCATTAGATGCAGATCGTTTGATGTGAGATTAGACATTTAGACGGCCAGCTTTGGTTTGTGCATCCTCACATGATATTAGTCTGCCATGTTGGCTTTGTGAGCAGTGGAAAACAACGTTACGGCAGCTCCTGTTTGTGCACAAGGCCTGTCCTGGTCCATGGGTGTGTTCATGGAGTTTATCTAAGATGATCTGGATCTCTAAATCACATTATTTGTAGCATATGGGAGATGACTGGAGCTCAGGAGGTAGAGCATTTCCCATAACTTCCATTTTCTCCAGACCTTGGACGAGGCTCTGAACCTTACTTTGTGTTAGAAAAAACATGCTGTAAATGCTAAAATGTGTCAATGGATGAATGTGACCTCTACTTTGAATTGATCAACTGGTCTAAAAAAGATGTAACAGGAGGCCGTTTATCTATATTTATAATGCAGTGGAAAATAACATGAATTCTAATGTAAATTACGGAATTGAAATGTCAAATAATAATGTTAATATTGCAGTAAATTATATATTTTTTAAAGTAAACTAATTAGGAGTAACTGTGTAATTAATAACTGTAAACTTGATATGAAAGCACTCATAACCGGTAAGAATTGCAAATAAATAAATCTACAAACAGACACTACTGATTCCCATGTATGAAAGAAAATCCATGCCTTTTACACTCATCGTAGACATTGTCCTTACCTCTTTCTTAAATCAAACACCAGCCTGAGTATCACACAGTGTCCAGCATCAACTGGCAACTCTTAAGCTTCTTTCATTCCCGGTGGATCAACAAAGGCATTGTTCCTGCTCTGGTTTTAGGTTCTCTCCTACATCAAAGATGTGGGGAAACAGATCTGCTCTGTGTTTGTTACTGTTGTTACTATCACAGAAAGGGGTTGCTGGTTTAAATCCCAGCCGGGCGCCTTTTGGTGGGGAGTTGGTGTGTCTTCCCCATGAGTGCATGGCTTCCTCCCACTGTCCAAAAACATGCGTTGGATCGATTTAAAACTCTAAATTGGCTGGAGGTACATGGGTTTTGTGTGGCCCTGTGATCAACTACGGACTGGTCAAGGAATTGGCCGGCCTCTTACCCAGTGACAGCTGGGAAAAATTCTGATGTTCTCATGAGATTTTGTTGTGGCTTAGAAATGAAAAAGAAGAAGAAAAGTGACATCTAAAGGATCAGAGGAAACTCTCTGTCCAGAAAATATAAGACTGAAGAACTCCAATCTGGATGGGGCTAAATCCATCATCTATCCTAGCAGAGGGTGAGACCACACCCCCTGATTCTCTGGTACAAGGAAAGTTTTCATTTCTCAATAATTTTTTGTGTTATTGTGTGCCAGAAGATATACGCCCATCACTAAGGTTTCTCACATAAGAAAGGCAAAGCAAACTTTGGCACAAAAAAACAAACACTTTAAATTCCTCCTCAGAGGAATAACTAGCAAAACTGAGTCATCTGAAGAACTTTGGTTGATGTGATGATGGTTGTGTGCAGTTTCAGGTAGAGGTATCCAGCTCTCAGAATCAGTTTGAAAACATATTTATATCCAATTCATAAATGCCATTATTCATACTAGAGCTGGTGTCACATTAGCCTGGCTCTTAACATCACAGATCTTCTCTTTGTTGGGCTCTTTTGGGTTTGGGAGGTGTGAATGCATGCAGCTCCAAATGTATGAATGAACAAGTGACTATGTCTTTATTCATATGAATTTGTAAACCTAATAGAGGCAGTTTAAAATGAATTTCCCACCAAAACAAGGCGTTGTTCAATTAAATAAAACTGACTTTGACTCCATCTTCTGGTTTAAAACAGTATTGAAAAAAGGGGCATGGCTATAAACCTAAAATATACAGTTAATTTACACTTTAAATGAATGTATGTACATTTTGTAGACTTGCAAAACATTGACGATGGCAGTTTTTGTTTACATCTGAGTTCCACATGTCACACTTCACTAAAACTAGGCAAATGTTTATTTTACTTAAAATGAAGCTGAATTAGTTCTTGTTCATAACTAATGTCATGTGTTAGGTTTACAGTCCTAATACGTCTCCTTTCGTGTTCATTTTGTTTTGTTTTTAAACTCGTGTGAATTTTCCTCATATGATTGTATAGTATATTTTTCTGTTATGTCCTAAAACACATGCCCCACAGCAATGAGAAGATATATGTGTTACACTATTTTAACACTAACTTAAAAAATGAGGTATTGGTGAATAGATCACTTTACTTGATAGAGTATAAATTAAGGATGCAACAACTTTGCCCTCAGAACTCGAGGTTATAAAGCAACACTGAACAGATTCTCAACCCTCAAAAGTACAGGAAATGTATCAGTCCTGGGCCATAAATTGCTCCAGGATGTCCAGGGCATCAGATGACCATACTTTGGTTTCCGGATCTGCACCATACTGTTTTGCTTCATTTTCACTTTACAGTTTGATTTTTTTGGGCCTCCAACAGCTGTAAGGGGAGCCAAAGAGCCAAAGATGTGTAAAATGTGACTTTAAATGCAACTAAATGTGTCGTAACATTGTTGTAAATTGCTATTCACTCCACAACCAACCCTCTAGCCTCATGTTGTAGGGCTTAAATGAACAATTCTATCTGTATAAACTCAAGCAGTATATCTGACCTGAAAATGTCAGTGACGCAGTATAAGATGTAAGAGTGTGTCAGGCTCTCATATCTCACGTCTTTTTTCACATTCTTTTTTAGCACACTGTTGGTCACCAGTTGGACACAGTGTGCAGTAACATACATTTTTGATAAAATGGACGGATAAAAAAATCTTGAGTGTCTCAATAAAACCCATGTATACGTTTACATTACTTGAAATACATTATTTGAAATAGTTTTCTGGGGGGTCAGAGAATCAGAATAAGGTTTATTGCCAAGTAGGTTTTTAGACTTACAAGGCATTAGTTCTTTAATATTCTGGTGTTATGCTTAGTAGAGTAGCCCAAATTTGAGTTTTCATTACCTAAAATTTAACTATTTTACCACCCTGCCCACTGACAGTATGTATGTATGCAGTTTGTTTAATCTGTTCATTTTTTCTGTACAAATGTTAACATTTTCATAGTAAATTTAAGGATAAAGATCGGCTATTATTCACATTCGGTAGGTAGCATATTTAAGGAAACCGTATGCTATGGCTCTTAACAGAGCATCTCCCACCCTCACACGTTCCCTGCCCCTCCCCACCCTCTCACTTGGACCCTCTCGTGTGTGTATATTGGAATTTGTTTTGGATAAAAGCGTCTGCCGAACATAAACCACCGTTTGATTGTGCTTTCATTCTTTAATTCATCTGCGTTTGGCTGTGCTATTCTGTAAATGCACAGCTCATAATAAATAAGATGTCAAAATTATTATTACAAGGTAGTAACTTTTCTCATGTTTCACAACACACAGCCATGTTTTCAACATGGACTTCCATGGCATTCAAAAATAAATGTACGAAGACAGAAGTCAATGTGAGAACGAATAAAGCAAATGAGCTTCCAGTGAAGCCGGGCACATCATGAGACGTGTGTAAGGCAGCCGGGACAGACGCAGCACTGTGTGCACACAGTGACGTGGCACTGCGGAATAGACACCATTATTGTTGACACACAAAGGACGTAGAGAATCCAGAATCCAGAATCCTCTCGTCTCTGACATGACAGTGTTCTCAGCTTTGATTTTGGTATGAACGGGATTTTACATAGAAACACAATAGTCGTCCATAGAACTTGGAATCCTTATCTCAAGGTGCAGTATCTGGTAATCCATGTCAACCAACTCCACTAAGCACATCCCCAAAGGCCTGGAAAGTCGAAGATGAGTAAAAGGTTCGACCATCGGAGGATACATGGGTGCTGGTCAATGTAAACGGGGTACAGTCAGGTGACGTGTGATTTGTTTCTTCTTTTCTTGATAAGGTTTCTGTGCTCACTCCAGGTCCTGGAGGTTGATTGTGCTTCCTGTGAACTGGGAGTTGTCAGAACCGTTGTCGTCTTCCGCCATCACCGTGGGCTCCTGAAAGCAAACAAAATAAAGGAAACTGCCACATAAAAAACGCCTCTTATAAAACAAACAGCTTAAGTCTGTATTGACTTCATAAGAGATGGTTCTTCTCTGCCTCCACCTTTAAATAAACACTCTGCAGGTCATTCAAGTAACTAAGAGTGTGTGTGTTGATTCATATGTAAAGTTTAATAGTCACTTATGAGCAAATGAGCTGTTCTAAAGACTTTGATTTCCTATTTATTTGATTCATATGATTTTTCATAACCTCAAAAGTCAACAGCTGAATGATTCAAACGTAACTGGACAGAGAAGCAGTCAAATAGAGATTTTATTGAATTTTTAACGGAAAATACTTTTAGTTTGTTACCGCTTAGAAAGCATTTGTGTCTCCTCTGGTCTCTTTGTCCCCCTTTGCCTTCATGAACCAAAGGGTGTCATTTTCAGATCATTTTTAATTAAAAGCACTACTGCATGTGAACCCAGAGTCCCACAGAGCCAAAACTAAATGTGAACTTTCGCTCGAAACGTATTTAAAAAGCATGTGCTTATCTGGAGAACTGGAAACAAAAGTAAGGTAAACTAACTCTAGCCAGACAACTTTGTTCATTCAGTGGAGAAACTAAATCCAAGTTCAATACATGGGTATTTGATTTTACTGTGAGCACATTAAAATGAATCCAACACTTTTGATTTGGATTATTAATATACGACCCACAGAGAGGAATCAAAATCAAACAATAAAACTGAACTGTCCTCACCTGTAAGATGTTTACGGGTAGGTCTACGGTGAGCTGGGAGTGGGAACTGGACGGCTGGGAGCTGAGCTGGAAGGCCAGGTCCCCGTCACTGGTTGGGTCGTCCTGCATGTGTAAACCAGTTCTGATCAGAGTGCCCCCCCTCAGAGACACTTTATGGGTTCGCTCCATACACACTTTCTTGAATCATGACTGTTTCATACTGTTTTTACTTCAGCATAGAAAAGGAAGCATTTCCTTTAGTAAATCCCAAACATACAGCAAAGCTGACTCTGTAT